GGGCCCTCTCAAATCCACCCCTCTGACTCTGCACAGATAGTGAGGTCTTTGGTCTTGCCAGAATCAGCTGGGGGGAGTTTACATCCGCATCCTCTGTCCCACCGTGTGAAACCTGATTCCCTTAGCTGCCTCGGGTGTCCATCTTTCTTTCTTTTTTTTAAAATATATTTTATTGATTTTTTACAGAGAGGAAGGGAGAGAGATAGAGAGTTAGAAACATCGATGAGAGAGAAACACCGATCAGCTGCCTCCTGCACATCTCCCACTGGGGATGTGCCCGCAACCCAGGTACATGCCCTTGACCGGAATCAAACCCGGGACCTTTCAGTCCGCAGGCTGATGCTCTATCCACTGAGCCAAACCGGTTTTGGCATCTTTAACTTCACAAGAACACTAAACTCTGCCCCGGTCGGGTCTCCCGGTTGGTTAGAGCCATGGTCGGCAAACTGCGGCTCGCGAGCCACCTGCAGCTCTTTGGCCTCTTGAGTGTGGCTCTTCCACAAAATACCATGTGCGGGCGTGCCCGTACAGTGCGATTGAAACTTCGTTGCCCATGAGCAGAAGTCGGTTTTTGGCCTGGGCGAGTCTGTTTTGAAGAAGTACTGTGATATTTGGCTCTGTTGACTAATGAGTTTGCCGACCACTGGGTTAGAGCATCGTCCGGATACACCAAGGATGGGGGTTCCATCCCTGGTCGGGCACATACAAGAATCAATGAACATAAATGGGTGGAACAACAAATCCATGTTTCTCTCTCTAAAAATCAATCAATAATACAAATTTAAAAACAAACAGGGGGATGGGAAATACCTCTAATACTATCAACACTAAAAATATATTTGAAAATAAAAACATACAAAAAACCCCTGAGCTCTCGGATAAAGGCCACGCAAACATCTTTGCCTGCAGAGCACTTCCCCCGCCCCCGCCATCATGCGAAATGCTCTTCTTTCCTCGCATCCTTCCAGATCGGCCTCAGTGCAGCGCCTGAGGGCGGCTTCCCTCCCAGAGTGTCCGTAGCACTGATGCACACTGCGAAGCTGCCACAGTTGCTCACTTAAGTGGCGTAATTTTTTGCATTGTTACATATGCAGATATATCCACAATTAGAATATGATGGCATAGAGTTAGAATATCATCTCCTGTATCTAATATTAATACCCAAAATACCACTTAGGATGTTTTTGGTGCAAAGTAAGACAAAATCTAGCTCAAACTGGCTCGAAGGATACTGGCATTCATTGTCCCCTATTACAGGTCCAGAGGTAGGACGGCCCAGGCAAGGTGAGGTATAGACCTGGTCATTGATGTCACCACGGACCCCAGTTCTTTCTGTCTCTCTGCTCTGGCTTCCGCTGGAAGCTGGTCCTCAGTAGCAGGACTACGTGCGGTCAGGGCAGGAAGAGAGGGTGGGAAGGGGACGTGCGCACACGCATGTGGGCACTGGCTCTCTCCAACCAGAAATCCTCCCCTCTAACCCTGGATAGCGTGGGAATGATTGTCCCCATCATGTCAATGCTCATGTAAGGAAAGAGCGTGCACTGTGACAAAATCAGGGGCTTATTCTAGAAAAGGTGAGAAGAGGAAACGGTGCCAAGTGGGACAACAGTACCCCTACACTAAATGCAGCGCGGCACATGCGAGGGTCCATGATGATGAGGGTGTGCAATTCAGCCTAAATGCCTATAGTAACAAAAAGTAGGTCACTGTAGCCTCAGGCCACAGAGAGAGGGAAGGATGAACCACAAAGGAGCACCAGGAAACTTTGGGGTAAAAAAAATGTTTTTGTATCTTGATTGTAGCAGTGGTTTTATGTTGACTCATTAAGTGGTATGCCTGAAATGGATACAGTTTGTTGCAGGTAAATTATATATATCACCATAAAAAAAGGGACACAAAATAGTTCTTAAAAGATTTACATTTGTGCCTGGCTGGCATGGCTCAGTGGTTGAGCATCGACCTATGAACCAGGAGGTCACAGTTCGATTCCCGGTCAGGGCACATGCCTGGGTTGCAGGCTCGATCCCCAGTGAGGGACATGTAGGAGGCAGCTGATCAATGATTCTCTCTCATCACTGATATTTCTATCTCTCTCTCTCCTTCTCCCTTCCTCTCTGAAACCAATATATATATATTTTTTCTTTTCTTTCTTTTTTTTTAAAATTTACATTCGGAGGCACACTAGTCCTACATCTGCCTGTAGTTGGCTCCTTGTCCCAGGCTCACCCTAATCCATCCTGGTTAGCTGCATTGCACCTTAGATAGGGGATAAAGATCACAGAATTTACCAGAAGCAAGTACAGGGCCCTTTAATTTCATACTTTTTTTCTTTTTCTGTTAATCCTTATCCAACTATATTTTTCCCCATTGATTTTTAGAGAGTGGAAGGCAGGGAGGAATGGGGGAAAGAAAAAAAACATCGATGTGAGAGAGTCACATCGATTGGTTGCCTCCCGCATGCACCCTTGACTAGGAATTGAACCCTCGACCCATTGGTGAGCAGGCCGAAGCTCTATCCACTGAGCAATACCGGCCAGGGCTAATTGCATCTCGACTATTGTCCTTCCTTTTGATGGCTTTATGTAGAACAAAACACAGTCATGGAAGCAGTCTGTCTCAAGCATTTGTGTAACTTTTCACCAGTTTCTGGCCAGAGTTCCCGTAGATGCAGGGATGAAAGGGCTGAGAAAACGACTCACCGGGGTCTGCTCCGGTGAGCAGGGTCGATGAGCAGGCCAGCTGGAGGGCGAGAGTAGAGAACAGCGAAGAGAGACTTCCTTGTGACTTTATGTCCCTTTTTTATGTTGCTTTATCCTAGAAATACAACACATTTCAAAATTTATGGCTTCATGCCTCAAGAAATGAAAGGTTTCTTGAGCTTAGGGAGCAATACTGATTTTTTTTTATTGGCAAAATATTATGGGAGAATAAGTGTCAACAGAAGAATGTATTTGGCTCCCAGTGAGTTGTGTTAAACACAAACTTAATAAAATACTTTGAGTAGCAGAAAAGGAAAACTAATTTGGATTTGCTTGTGAAAGGCAAGAGAAATACCGGCTTCAGACCCTGACGGATAGGCGCCCCAGAATCAGTAACACACTGACCCTGTGTATGGGTAGGGTTCCTACTGCATACCTTTGATACGAATTTCCAATCATCTGGATATTTTATGGACCCACCTGCCATGGCTCCTGGCAGGTAGCAGTTACTAAATATTTGCTGAATGACTCTCTTCAAAATCTTAACATTGTCTTCTTTGGGGCGGTTAGAAGATAACTTAACACAAAGGATCCAGACAAACAGGACTTTCTTGATTCTGTTTTCTTAACAATACTTGGTATCAAACATTTTCAGCGGACTTGTTGAACCATATACATTGGCTGCCATACTCTGAAAAGCTGCTGTGGAATAAACGCTGTTTAAAGGAAATCATTAAAAAATGTTAGGAAGGAGCTACCTTTATTAAAAGCATCTGAAATTGTTATTTGGAAAAGTATCAAAGTGAACAAAACTTTTCCCCCAAAATATACTGATTACAATGGATCAGGAGAATGAATAGTTATGGTGTCCAATGTTTCTGAGTTTTTATCAAATTTCTATACCACTTTAAAAAATCAATAGTCATGCCCTAGCAGTCCGTGGTCGACAAACTGCAGCTCGCGAGCCACATGTGGCTCTTTGGCCCCTTGAGTGTGGCTCTTCCTAAGCCTTAGGAGTACCCTAATTAAGTTAATAACAATGTACCTACCTATACAGTTTAAGTTTAAAAAATTTGGCTCTCAAAAGAAATTTCAATCATTGTACTGTTGGTATTTGGCTCTGTTGACTAATGAGTTTGCCGACCACTGCCCTAGCTGGTTTGGCTCGGTGGATAGAGCGTCGGCTTATGGACTGAAGGGACCCAGGTTTGATTCCTGTCAAGGGCACGTACCTCAGTTGCAGGTTTGATCCCTGGCCCTGGTCAGAGTATGTATCTCTGTCACATCAATGTTTCTCTCTGTGTGTGCCTCTCCTCCTCCCTTCCACTCTCTCTAAAAGTCAATGGAAAAATATCCTCAGGTGAGGACTCACAAAACAAAACAAAAACATCAATAGTCACTTCACAGAAACGGAAATGGTAGGGTGGGGTCAAGAGCCAGCAGAGCTCTCTGCTGATACCCAACCCAGAGTGTCAGTGACCTCTAGGCCTTGGAGAGCATGTTACAACAAAAATGTTTGCTGAGCTATTTCTTAGCATAGTCACTTTCTTTTTTAAATGTCAGGACCAAGGCTCAAGGGAAAATTGGTGCAATTTGTCTAAACAGGAATGAGGTGAAGGAGGAGCATGAGTAAAAGGCATGAAATCATCCCTGAACCATTCTCACCATTAAATCAGCTATTTCCCCACCACATTTTCCAGTGATTCGCTAATAACGAACAATTCATTTCACTCGACTGTTTTTGGAACGTCCACTACGTGTCGGGCACAAGCGACACCAGGATAACCAAACAGCCAGTCTTCCCCTCAAAGAGTTGATGGGGCTTCGGGGAACTGAAAAGCAAACCCCAACCCTGTGTAAGTGCCTTAGGAGAGTGTGTGGATTAGCCCGGCCAGCGTCCAGGAGGTCTCGGTTTGATTCCCGGTGGAGGCACATGCCCAGGTTGTGGGCTCGATCTCCGGTGTGGGTCATGCAGGAGGCAGCTGATCAATGATTCTCTCTCATCATTGGTATTTCTCTCTCTCTCCCTTCCTCTCTGAAATAAATAAAT